AATCTGACGTCCATTTTTGCTAATCGCTTCTCGGAAAAAAGTTATGGAGGATTTCCGCGCCAAAGGAGATGTAGTCGAAATGTCAAAACCACCGTTGAGATGTGGTGTAGTGGCTAGTGCGATAGCCTCGCAAGTTAATGCAGGTTTAGTCTCGAGTCCTTTTGTGTTTTTAAGTTTTGCATTGCCTCAATCAAGCTTCTTTAAGCTAGGCATCCGCGACCGTATTTCTTTTAGGCGACCATTGACGCAAAAATTCTTCATAACTTCTTCTAGAGAAACGATTAGCAGAAATGGAAGTCAGATTCGGAATCAGTGTCCCAAAGCGAATGTGATGATATGCATTTCATCTCAAAAGGCCACGGGCATCAAGTATCGTTTCCTTGTAAGTCAAAAGAAGAAGAAGAATAAAACGACTTATAAGGGGGTATTGAGTCAGAAATGATTTTACTGTTTCTATCCTAGCAAATTTTAACCATGCTCAATTTTTATTCTTCTCTACGCATTCGAATAAGCGAAAAAGGTGATGATACAATAAAAAAATACAGGAGCTAAAATACAGGCGGCACAGATATTGTGAATTTGAACAGGTTTTTCTAGAGCGTAATGAAGCTTTCACCTGGAATTTGTTAGCTGAAGCACTTCCCACCACAGGTGCGATAATACATACGTGGTTCGAGTTTTTGCCAGCTATTTGTTTGTTCAGTAAATCTTTGATCGGATTATGAGAGGAACGTTCTGTGCCAAGCACTCTGAAGCTTAAGAATCCTTAGCTTCATTTTGGTAGAAACTTCAAAATACAGGGTGCTCTGAAATACAGGCGGCACGGTTATATTTAACTAAAAAATATTCAAAACGGGCTTGACGACGATCAAGCACAGTCTGTTCTCAATATCCTTAACCAGCAGATCATGTCGTCCCCGAAAGTATTTTCGCTTTTTTTAAACAAGCGCCACATCCCAAAAACAAAGATAAGGAAATTTTGAGATCGTTCGATAAGTTCTTCATGCTCTTTCGAATGGCTACCTTCGCATAGCTGATCAACAAACGAGCTCTCAGACATCGAAAACTGCAATCCAAGGATTTGCCATTGTCGGATACATTGACAAAATTCATGTTTTCGAGGGTGTCTCAATGAGGAAATGGTCAGAACTTAAAGGCAGCGTTCAGGCAAATCTGGGCCCATGGGGATCTCACCTGGAGGGAAATCTTGAAGCCCTAAGTAAAACACTGCCCAAGCGGTAATCCAAATCGTGAGCTCACAGTTGAGATCGCTTCCAAACTGGACCCCTGGATTGTATTCGCACGCATACATGGTGCGGCACATCAATTTCGCGCGAGGACCCACGCGTGTCGCGCCATGAATTTTTCCGAATACGATCTCAGGGTCCAGTTTGGAGGCGAATATCTCAACTGTGAGCTCACCATCTGAGCTGGCGCTTGGGCAGTGTCGTTAGGACCCCAAAATTACTTTCCACATCCGAACTCCTTATGTCCAGATTTGCCTGGACGCTGCCTTTAACTCAGCCATAGCAATTAAACTGTATATCATCGAACTCGTCTTGAAATGCTGAGTTCTAATGTCTCTTTTGTCTGGCAAGCGACTATCCTGGTGGAGTTTGAGCGTTCAGTGAGATCTTTTTCGAGTTACAGCGAATGTATTTCTTTGACGAGCAGTTAGATGGCGCGGATTTACAGTAGTTATGGTTCTTTTGATTGCAAGGAGGAGGCACATTTACCAAAAACCTAAATAAGTGTTTTTGAAACCTATTTTGTGGAATAAGTCACAGAATACTTGAAAATCGCACGTTTAAATGCTCATAACTCTCACAGATCGCTTGTAGATGATAAACACAAATTTGTAATGCATTTCAAGACGATTACGATCATATACAGCATGTTTGGTATGGCTGAGTTAAAGGCAGCGGCTCGGCAGAATTTCGTTTTCCAGTTCACCTTTTCGGGGCCTTCTCGCCATGAGCAACCCATAATGCGCTTTTCAACGCATGAAAATGGCAAAAATGCGCTTTTTCCGAAGCTTTCCAGGTCAGCCTTCAGTGGGCGGGGCTTGCAATGAAAAAGGGCGAGGTGCGGCTTTCTTCGGATAAGGGTTCCTCATGGCGAGAAGGCTTCGAAAAGTTAAAGAGTTGGAAAACGAAATAATGCAAAGCAGCTGCCTTTAAATTTTGACCATTCCCTGCTAGGCTATACTTGGAAAATCAAGATTGATATTTTGAATCCCTAAACGCTCATTTGCTTTGTATAATTAGCGATGAATCATAATCACTTCATGAAGTATAAAGAATCGAGAATGTTGGGGCTTGACGAGTCTGCGTCTGAAATAGGTCTGTTGAATTTCGATGATTAAAAATTCTGTCAAAAACTTTTCACGAGTTATGGGGAGGAAAACAAAACTAATGTGTGTGCTGTAGGGTTTGCCCTCTTTATCCGTTACTTGGAGCTCTCTGGGGACTTAGTGCAAAAATTTGAAAAAATTAGCGTTTTCGGTAATTTTCTAAGAGTCGTTTGTTGAAAAGAGGTGGAAATAATCAAGACCTTATAATAACGGGCTAAGATTGTTTACGTGTTTTTGTGTGTGTGTGTGTGTGTGTGTCCGTCTGTTACGAAATTCGTAAAGCATGTTCCAGCTAACGTCCTGGGCCCAGATTTTACACAGCGCATGATACCAGCGTGAAAGTCCAATGTACAAAATCACGAGCGGATCCGCTGAGTGGATCCTTCAGAAATTGCGCGCCAACCGGATCCATCTGGCTTCTATCCCGCAAAATGAGGTCCGTATCACCACTTTTTGCAGAGTCGTGGATCTGTTTGGTAAGCAAGTGTGCAAGCGATGGACTTTAGTTTGAAAAAGTGGGCAAAAGTTTACTATATAACGAAAACGGCGCCAAAAAGAATTGGTTGCGTAAATGGTCAATTTGCCAAGGTTCTAGCCAAGCATTTGAGAAGATTTTTGCACAGAGATGTAGCTCACGGTGAGGATTGCCTTTCTGGCGACTACCAAGCTATGACAAATTCAAAAACCTATTCAAATTTGCCTTTGTCTTCCTGCGAAAAGTTTAATCCACGCGAAATCACCGGTCTAACGTGTAAAAGCTTTCTGAATGAGTAGTTGTTTACATTTTATTCGTGGTAGCTGGCATAGCGCGGTGAGTTCCAGTGCCACGATTTTACGAGAATGAGTAAGGCATATAGATGGTAGAGCCAGTGCGAGCCTCTACGAGGCAGAGGTGGCGCACTGTTTTTCAAAAACCAGGAAGGCAGAAGTAATAGACTAATGCTAACCTTTGCGAAGGTGGTTCCACTCAAGATATGTGGGAGCACAAGCAGAGATTGAAAACTTACAACTTAGAAATGGTCAGAAAACCTGCTTTCGTTTGGAAGCTACGCCAAATATAGAAGTGACTAGCTGATCTGCCCGGTCCAGCCCGGGAATGATCACTGATCGGGAATGAAGATAAGGTATTCGGTGGCATTGTAGAAAATGTGTAAAGAACAAATATTATGAGGATCATTTTTTGTGACACTTTGCCGTTAACCGGCTACTTCATCTTCATTCACTGCTTGCCGTCAATTTTTGTGGAGTCGGCAGTACTTTGCACTCGCGCACTTTCCTGGTCCAAGGGATCAACTATAGCGAATGTGAGTTGTCGCTTGTCTTGACATTATTTCTGGTATTGACAAATAATTTGTGCGCAATCTCATGAAAAATTTTGACCCCTCATTGTTTAAATTGAGCGTGTAACGAAGAAAGCATTGATTATAAGCGTAAATTGAGCACGCTTCCGTGCAAAACACTCGCTACAAAGCACTCATGGTGTCTTGCACGCTAAGGTTTCCGCATAAGATACATTTAGTGCATCCATTTGAATGAGCAATTGAGACTCACATCAAGAACACTTTTCACTGCACTTCGTCAACAGAAGTTCACAATGAGACATGCCAGCCTTGTTTACATACCCCTGTTTTGATAGCAAATGATAAGAATCATTTTTATTGCAAAGTGTGACAAATCAATAAATCGATAGAAGGACCCAACGAATCGCTGCAAAAAGAAGCCTATCATCTGCGCAAGGCTCGAAAACATATGCTTGTAAAGTTTCAGCTTAATCGGTTGAGCGGCGCGCGTTTCTATAACGCACATACCCTCCAAACTAACAATTTTTGAGTTTTATATATATATATAGATTATTAAGGTTCTACTTAAGCTGTTAGAAACTTTTTTCAAAATAGAAATGTAGCTAGCAATTTGTCGATGTCTTTATGGCATTTATGAATTGTTATACATTTGATAACTCTTGCTACTGCTGCTCATGCACAGACGAAAGTGCAAATGACAGTTCTTTAGGAATAAATCTCATCTCTGCTTTTTTTTAGAAGGTTAAACCTTTCTTTGGAAGACCGCCACTTAGAATCTGAAACAAAAAATTACAAAGATCAGAACCGAAATCCTGTGGTAAAGATGGTTTTATTGCAATCGATCCGTTCGAATCGGTAGGTTTTGCATGGTTTCATTGCTTAAGTCACATCTTCCTAACTTTGGCGAAGCAAGCCGCAATGATCGTAACAAACGGATCAGCTGTGCTTTAGAGAACAAAAAGTCCCCTTAGGGCATCTCGCCCTCTTACAAATTCAAGACCAAAGATCATACTTATGTTATTTGTGTGTGGCTTTTCAAAAAAACAATTCAAAGGACGCTTGAATATACTCATTCCGTTTTTTTTCTCTTCTGAGATTTAACTCCCACAGCTGCTCTTTGCATCTGAAAAAAAGCTGTTTACTATTCCTTCGTTTCTGAAAGAAATAATAATGACTTATAGGGTTAAGTATTGTAGCTCTGAATCATGCAGACGCCAATCTGTCGTTCAGGCGTTTATTGCAAGGCAAAATTAACTTCCTTTTTTGCTTTATATCAAAGCTGTGAAGATATGCATACAATCCCAGTTTGCGCAAATCTGCATCAATCTGTTTTTTGCACTCTTGAGATGTCACGCAAGCGTCGCACCGTTCTTGGGTCAGTTGGTAACTTTGTAAGCCCCGTTTGTCGCTTTAACGTAAATTGGTGCGGAAACTATTTAGCTAATAGCTTTTAACCGTAGTAAGTAGAATTCTGGGGAGAAGTGCTACAAGCTTTTTTATATATGAAACTTCGCAATATTTTAGGCAATACCTTATTTCGACTGATTGTGCGAACATATTAGGCCAACAGAAGCAGGCTGTCTATTTTTGGCTACTTGGTTAGTTTAATGAATTGAACCTTTCGTGTAAAAAAGTGGGACGGATGCGTCCATACTTTTGCGCTGATGGTCCTTTTGTAGCGTCGCCGATTGCAGCAAAGCGTCCATGTATAAACGGGACTTATGCGCTTCGCATCAGAAGTGTATGCGATTAAGAGTAACTTGGCAATGACAAAAATTGTTATTGAGCTTTAGGGGCGTAGGCGCTACGATTGAAAAATTTATACTTTAGAATTATTGAAAGTGAAATGGAGCCAAATCAGCTTGAAAACCGTGTGCGTGGGCGTCCCCGTATCCATGCATCAAATGCTGAGCGTCAAAAAAGCTACCGCACTTCTCAAGAAGAAAGCCAGCGTGCTTCGCGGCTAAGTGCCGATGCAGCACATCATCGCCAATCGCGGGAAGTTGCGAGTGCTGAACGTCGTCTCGCTGACGCACAGCGACAACAGAGACGTCGTGATGCTGAAAACCCAGAAGAACGTGCACGGCGCCGCAATGGGAATATGCAACGCCAACGAAGGAACCGTGAAGAAGAAAGTGGTGAAAATCGACTTGCACGTCGTCTTCAAAATTCAGCACGTCAGCAGAGACGTCGTCAGAATGAAAGCGCTGAGGAGTGCGCTGAACGTCGCTCTGAGAATGCTGTGCGTCAGCAGAGACGACGACAAGCTGAAAGTGTCGAAGAGCGTGACCAGCGACTTCTGGAACAAAATCGGCGTCAGCACAGGTTACTGCAAAATGAAACGCATGCGGAAGGCGTTGAACGTCGAAGAAGGAATGCAATGCGTCAAAGACTATATCGTGCGCAAGACAATGAGGAAGAAGAAGCAGAGCATGCGCAAGCAAATGAGGAAGAAGAGGCAGAGCGTGCGCAAAAAAATCTTGAACGTCAGCGTGGCCAAGACCAAAGTGAAGACGAAAGGACGTTGCATGTGATAAGTGATGGGAATCGTCAGCGTCGCAATGTTTCTAGCACCCTTGGTGTAGCACTCAGGCTACGCATGACAACTACGAACCATCTAGGAAGACTCGATCGTCGTTGCGTAAGCTGTGGTGCACTGCACTTTGCTTTTGAGGTCAAACAACAGCATGCTGATACTTTTGGTGAGTGCTGCGATTACGGGCGTTTTGCTCTGAATTTCTTTGACGACTTTCCTACGGTGATAAAGGAACTTCTTCTTGGAAACTCATCGCTGCTGGAGCCACGACAACGTCGCAATAATTTTTTCACACGTATCAGGAATTTTAATTCCGCATTAGCGATGGCTTCGATGGGGGCCCAGGTCGACGCACCGCAAGGTCGAGGGCCGTACTGTTACCGGATCCACGGCCAAATATATTATCAAATCGGTCCACTTCATCCCAATCCGGGAGAAAACAGACAATATGGCCAAATTTACATACTAGATACTGAATTAGCAGTACAACAGCGTCTGGAGAACGCTCAGAACTTGGACTGCGATCCGGAATTAATGAGGTTTTTGAGTCAGTGGTTCGCGTATAATAATATCTATGCACAGTCCTTTAAGATGATGAGCGAGGTTGAAAAGGCCGAAGCAGAGGCGGCAAGACGTGAGAACCGACAGCCCACCGTAATTAGAATGGTCTTTGACGAAAACAGAGAGAGGGGTATCTCTAGAGGAAGATATGCCGTTCCAACAAGCAATGAAGTTGTTGTGGTTTACGTCGGCAGCGATAATGATGTGCCTTCTACAAGAAGCCTCGCGGTTCATTTACGAAGTTCTGAAGGATCATCTTTGATGAGAATAAGCGATATTGACAAAAGATGCGACCCCCTAACATACCCGCTTTTGTTCCCAACAGGAAGAGGTGGGTGGGATCCAAGTCTCACGGATCGCAGAGGAGTGCGGATTACGCAGATGAAGTACTACTCCTACCTTTTTTCAATACGTGATAGTTTTGATCCAATTCTCTACGCAAGAAAGTTATTCCAGCAATTTGCAGTCGATGTCTACGTCAAGATTGAACAAAACCGACTGAACTATCACAGAACACATCAAGTAAATCTTCGCGCCGACTCATATAGAGGACTACAAGATTACCTAGCAGGAGATGATAGTAGAGGACCTCCGGGAAGACGCATTGTGTTGGCTTCATCGCATGTCGGTAGTCCACGAGCAATGCAACAATCTTACCAGGACGCCATGGCGATAATGTCTCGCTTCGGAAAGCCGACGTACTTCCTTACGATGACGTGTAACCCACAATGGCCAGAAATCCAGGAAAACCTCTATGAGGGACAGATTGCTGCTGACAGACCAGATCTGACAGCAAGGGTCTTTTATGGAAAGCTGAGGCAATTATGTGAGGATTTGTTCAAAAACCACGTCCTCGGAGAAGTACAAGCATATGTATACGTCATCGAGTTTCAGATGAGAGGCCTCCCGCACTGCCATATGCTCATCATTATGAAGAGCGGCTGGAAAGTAGATACGGTGGCTGACGTTGATAACGCGGTGTGTGCGGAAATACCTTGCCAAGAAGAAGAGCCGCAGGCATTTGCTGCTGTCACCAGTTTTATGATTCACAGAAAGTGCGGTCTTGAGGATCCTCATTCGCCCTGCATGCGTGACGGAACATGCTCGAAAAAGTTTCCTAAGCAGTTGTGTGAACGGACCTCTATGGAGCAGGATGGTTACCCGAAATACAGAAGGGGGAGCCGCTCAAGTGTCTTAATTAATGATTGTCTTATGGTGATGAGTGGGTCGTCCCAACAAATTTATACCTTATCACAAAATTTCAATGCCACATAAATCTTGAAATATGTGGAACAGTATCTGCAGTAAAGTATCTCTATAAATACATATACAAGGGACCGGATCGAGCTCGAATCACGATTGGGAGTGGTGTTGATGGATCCGCTATCGATGAAATCAAACAGCATCTGGGCACACGCTACGTTTGTCCTCCTCAAGCCCTCTATCGCGTGTTTGGGTACCCTATGCAAGACAAATCTCATACAGTGTTTAGGTTAGCAGTAAATCTACCCGAATATCAAACTGTACATTTTGTCGCGGGAGAAGAACAGCAAGTTGTCGATCGCGCTCAAAATAGTTTCACGACGCTTACGGCTTTCTTCGAGTTGAACCTACAAAGTGCAAGAACATTTGACAGAGGTGAAGCTTCGGATTTGGAAGTCGATTCACGTGCCTACTATTACCACGAAATACCCGAACACTTCACATTTTCCTCTCGCCATGGATGGAAACCAAGAAGACGAGGCGGCAAAGAAATTGGCAGGATATATACGGTATCACCTCGAGATCAGGAACGTTACTGTCTCCGCATACTTCTGCTAAACACAAAAGGCAAGATTTCGTTTCAAGATCTCCGTACCGTCGATGGACAAATTTATGCAACATTCTCAGATGCCGCCAAAGCTTCAGGCTATTTCGATGATGACACCTATTACAGACAAAGTATGGAGGAAGCAGCCCATTTCCAAACTCCGTCTACTTTGCGAAGCTTTTTCGCATGTCTGCTCTGTTATTGCGAAGTAGCAGATGCCCAGGAGCTTTGGAGTGACTTTGCAGTGACAATGAGTGATGATTACTTGCATCAAGGGCTGGGTGAAGAAGAAGCTGTTGCCATAGCGTACTTCGATGTGGCGGACAAAATGCTGCTCTTGGGAAGAGACCTGCGACAGATCGTAACACCTCCTGTAGAGGAGCGTCCTGAAATTCCAGTTGAGACGATAGATTTCGAACGACACCTCAGCGATGGAGCGCGCATGTATGAGACATTGAACACCGATCAACGCGAAGCTGCTGATGACATTATCGCGTCTATGGAAAATGACTGTAAAGGGTGTTTCTTTATTGATGGTCCAGGCGGTAGCGGAAAAACTTATTTGTACACAGTTCTTTACAACTTAGCTGTGGGGCAACGCCGCCGTGTGCTTTGTGTAGCGTGGACCGGAATAGCAGCTAATCTGCTTCCTGGCGGGAGAACTGTGATCTCCGCGTTTAAACTCAATATGGCTGATGGCAATCGTTCGTCATTGCTGAGAAGACAACAGAGAGAGACCCGAGACCTTGCAAGTACCGATATCATTATTTGGGACGAGATATCTATGGCTCCCAAATGTTCGCTTGAAGCCGTTGATGCTTTGTTTCGCGATCTCATGCAAAATGACAGCCCGTTTGGAGGAAAATTATTGATTGTAGGTGGAGACTTCCGTCAAGTTTTGCCAGTCATTGAACACGGCCGACGTGAAGATGTAGTTGAAGCTTGCGTCAATAGGTCATCTCTGTGGTCGCTCTTCAAGATCCATCATCTCCAAAGAAACATGCGAGCTCGAGATGCTGGGAATGATTGGCACAATTTTCTTTTGGACATAGGCAATGGGAGCAGTAACTCTGCAGATGGACGTGTTACCCTAGCAGAAAATCTTATTGGCACTCGCAACATTGTCACAGAAGTTTTTGGCGAAGTCATTGATGCGCAGGAAGCCCTTTACGAACGAGCAATTCTAGCTCCGAGAAATGTGAATGTGAAGCAACTTAACGAAGACGCAATGCAGCGCTTGCGGGTGGAAAGTGCAAGAGAAGAGCGCGTTTACAGAAGTATAGATAGTGCTGTAGTTCATGCTGGAGACTCAGAATTATACCCGGTTGAATATCTAAGCACACTCGGGCCATCGGGAATGCCACCACATGAGCTAAGATTAAAGAAGGGAGCTATAATCATGCTTTTACGTAATCTTGATGTTAGCCGAGGCCTTTGCAACGGGACACGCTTAAGAATCGAGACTTTGGGGCGTTTCGTTCTAGGATGCCGATTTGTTTGCGGAGAACGAAGAGACCAGCTAGCTGTAGTTCCAAGGATCGATAACTATTGCGACAGACAACTACCATTTCGGCTCAGAAGACGTCAATTCCCCGTAAGAGTCGCGTTTGCTATGACGATAAACAAGTCCCAGGGGCAGTCGTTTACCAAAGTCGGTGTATATCTTCCTGAAGACGTGTTCAGCCATGGACAGCTTTATGTTGCCTTCTCCCGGGTTCGAACACCGGCTGGCCTGAAAGTGAGCACACCGACAAGAGCAGTTCGAAACATTGTCTATGAGGAGGTTTTGCACTAATCGCTTTTATTCGCATTAACTTTAATTACTACTAATTACTCGAAATGTCACTTGGTAGAAAAATGAAAGAAATATCACAATTTTATAGCTCCCTGGTATCTTACCTATTATATGAACATGATTATACCAGCACAGTAAGAAAAAAGTTGAATATTATTAAGGTAAAGCAGCCAAATCAAGGTTCAGGTACTTTCTCCTCCCACCCATATTTAACTGATTAAATGCTGAAATTGGTCAAAAGAGCGACTAGATATCTTATTAGACAAATGAGCTTAATAAAAACTAAAACCGATTCATACTTCTCCAATGATTTGAGGACAAGTAAGATACCGGTATCAAACTCTAACTTGGCCATTATTTTTGGCTATTTAGACTGCAGAAATGCACAAAGAACTTTTTTATCACCAAGAATCAATTGTGGTGTCTCGAACAATACTTTCTCTTATGTAGTTAGACAAGGCTCAGGTTCAAAACGCTACAAATGTACGTTAATAATTTTCAAATTAAAAAAATCAAGTAATAGGATTTTTACTCCAGGAATCACTTATCGTCAGTACACAAGATTTTTTGCCATTTAAAGTGAGCACACGGGAGCCTATGAGCTGTACTAAACCGGAATTCTCATACACAAGGTGCAAAGTATGTTATAGAAGTTTAGACTTGCATACACACGTTTGCAGGGGTTCCTCATATCAAAAGCAATGAGTGCAAGCTTACTGCCAGCATTAGCAAGCTAAGATGTTGCGAAAAGTTTCGTTGTTCGAAGATGTTACTCCTGAAGACATTTCCACATGTGATCAAGTGATAAAGAAACTTGCGAGACTTTTCGAAATCCCCGTACTCAGGACACGAACAGCAAATGTTTGCCAAAATGGCTTATGTCAGGTTGAAGTGAAAAAAAATAGTGGGAAAGCCCTAAATCAGATTTTTTACGAAATGTGTCTTCACTATCATTCTGGAGTAGTTAGTTTGCATCTGATAGTGAATGTTATGGACGTAGCATGATTGGCACCTGTCAAATGCTTTGCTCATATTTTTGCGATGTACTAAGCAGATCTTTTGTAATTTCGTGAATGAGCTACGTAGTCAATTACCAAATTTATTTCGAAGAAATTTGTGTCAGTTAGTTACTCAAGAAGAATAAACTTCTTGAATTTAGTAATTTTGTCCGAATCATCAACAAAGTAATCAGTACAGAATTTATGTTTTCAAAAAAGAGCTATGCAAGTGAAACTCAGAAGGTTAAATTATATATTCGCACTTTCTGCTGATAGCGCATCCATGGGTAACTTATCCGAACAAATTTATATGGAGCGTCTCAACTTTGTCAATTTAAAGAGGTATTCCTCTGAAATTTCATAATGGGGTTTGTCAGAACTTCTTAATACATATTACAAACCCAAGTCTGAGAGTCCGGCGAAGCCGGACGATCAGACTGGTTGTTTTAAAATGAAAAACTGCATCGAATGCTACCAAGATCTTGTATAAACCCTTGTTCCGCAGTTCGTGACACTTGTTCGATAAAAAAGAACTATAACAGTCAAACCAAATTTTGCTTACTTCTCCTCCAAGAAACCTCGTACTTTTTCGTAACCAAATCATACTTCGTAAGCATGCAAAGCTTCACAAAGAAAACGTTTTCTCGATCAGTCGTTATTAATTACTATAGAAGTGATATGAGTAGAGAAATGTGTTTCGCATGTCTGAGATTACACATCAAAGCGTAAACTGTTTCACACAAGATTTTGGTTCATTCAATTGAAGAACAAATAACATAATTGTATAGATTCAACAAGGCATTGCGTCGAATAATACAGCTTATGCAGTGGTTGCATCAACTCCATGTATTGCGTCAATCCTGATTACAGTAAGCATGGCCTTTACTGGTTGCTATGTTCGTACGGATCCTTATGCCTTAACGTTTTCGTACAAATGCAGGTGGGTGACTAGAAATATCTAACGATACTGAATTTAGTCATGTTCTCAAGCTTTTCTTTGGGGAGGGGGATCAATCATCCTCCCTCTTCCCGACTCCTTTAAAAATGATGGAACTGTCTAAACGAAAATTTGCAAGATGTATTGCATTCTAGCACTTGCACATTTTTTGGAACCCTGCTTTATTATTTTGGGTTTATATTTCCTAGTATCAACTTCGTACTGTATGCTTGTATTTATGCCAAGATTCTTCGGGTGCATATGAGATTCAGAAAAGTGATGACTAATACTGCCGAAGAGTCTCAGAGACAAAGAATTCAGCTAGTAAGTAATATTCTATGCGCAGTTAAACGTTCACGTCTCCACCACACTGTACTTCGTTGTCTAGGTAATTCAGTTCTCTCTCATATGTGCTATACAATTCGCCAGTAGTGCGTGCTTTTATATTCTACCACCATTGTTGCCAAATACCGACTTAGCCGTCCACTTGCCGATGCTCAAGTGTCACCTATGTGCCCATCCAAACCTCAACATGGTGCCAAAAAGGCCTTTTCGTAACTTTTGTGAGATAGAAGAATGCAGCGTGCAGATTTTGAGCAGCCACTATATCAGTGTATAAACAGAACCCTCGCTTATTGATTTTATTACTGATTTCAAGCCTCAACTAACATGCACGGAGTATGGTATGGATGCTGGTACTTGACTGTGAAGGTAAAGATGCTTATAATTCTACTCTGAGCTGCTTGTACAATCTCGAAAAGTAGTCAAATTCGGGCACGGTCCCGGAATGATACTTGAAGAAGTGAATTGTAAATAAACGTTTTTTTATTTGGTTCTTTCACATACCGTTTTCAACAAATTGCAGTGAATACACAGCATTCGTGCAATCAGCCTAAGCCTTTCATATTAGTAGTTAAATGCTGCAAACTTGGGTTACGCTGAGTTCATTTTCTCGGATTTTTTAACCTTCATTACTTAACAATGAAGCGCTTAGACCGTCTGACTGTTTGTCTGTGTGTGTAAGGATATTCGTCGACGACTGCTTCGACTCGTGCAACTACACCACATTGGGCATACCTTATTGGGGCCTTTCCATCTTCACAATACGCTACAGCGCGCAGGGACTTGGTAGCTCGCAGCATCTCTGTCCTCCCCCTGTCCTGTCCTGTCCTACTGTCAAGCTGGAAGGGCTCCAAAACAGCACGCCCACGGTGGTGTGATTGCACTAGTTGGGGCAGTCGTCGACGAATATCCTTTACATCTGTCTGTCACGAAATTCACAGAGCGGGTTGCAGCAGACATCTCGAGTCAAATTTTGTAACGCACGTCACCAGCATATAGGTACATAAACCAAAAGCACCGGAATCGCTGCGTGGAACCTACGGAAACTGCGCATCAAACAGGCCCACACGAGTTTTGGCGCGCAAAACTAGATCCGCATTTAAACTTTTCACAAAGTCAAGAATATATTCGACTTTTATATCGATAAGACATTGACATCAACCCAAAAAAGTGACTAAAAGTTCATCAGTTTACGAACACGGCGCCAAAAAGATTTGCCTGCGCAAATGTTCATTTTCCCAAATTGCTACTTGATCATTCGTGAAAATTATTGCACATAAATGTAACCCATGCTGATTGTTATCATTGGAGCGACCAAGCCATGAACAGTCAAAAACCAATTTAAATTTGCATTTGTTCTTCCGGGAAAAGTTTCATCCACGCGAAAATACCGATCACATGAAAAAAACTTTAGAAAAGAGTATTTTCTCGCAGATAATTCGTGATAGTCGGGACAGAACGGTAAGTTTCAATGGCATTGTTGCGGGAATGAGTAAGGCATAAAGATAATGGGACCAGTGCGAGCCTCTGCAAAGCAGAGATGAGCTAAACGTCTGTCTTTTTGTGTGTGCGTGTGTATGTCTGTCTGTCATGAACATAGAGGGAGCTGCAGCCAAGCTATAGGGCTACAATTTTGCATAGTACTGTAACAGCATGCAAGTCCACTATGCACAAGGACGAGCCGGCTGATAAGCGAGTCCTTCAAAAAATTGTGCGTCAAACGGGTCCACCCGTCTTTGGTACGCAAGACTCGGTAGCTAATTCGAAATTTTGCAAAGTCGTAATTTGCCTGTCAAGTAAAAATGCGCCCATGCGTTCTAGGTCAAAAATTGCTCAAAAATTTTGTTTTCTGCGAAAACAGTACCAAAAAGTGGTGATCGCCTAGGTACTCGATTTGGCAAGGCTTTACCCTGAAATTTGAGAGGATTTTTACACGGTTTTCGGCTCATCCATTCAAATTCGAGGTGTTCCTTTGCGAAAAAATACACGGTAATGTAGCTCAAGTGAAGCCGAAATAGATCATTGTATTGTATTTTGTTTATTCTAATCAGCTGTCGTCAAAGCTAGTCCAAAAGTTGAAAATGGAAATTTTAAAAAATATCCAAAGTGAAGATAGGTGAAAATCATGGGTTGGAGATCCCTGCCGATAATTGAGCAGACACCAAGGGAATCTGAACAAGTACATAATCATCAGAAAGAAGAAGACATTCTGCATCGGATAGTGCTTACAGATTTTGTCTATCTACATTCTAATTGTAAGAGGTTTTAGCATGGGTCTGAAAAACAGCGCGAACTTTTGGACCAACTTCATATATAAATTTTGAGAAGCAAAAAGCTCTCGACTAAGCAGACCACAACCTCAGTCCCACCTAATCTAATTGCAAGCATCTTTGTGATTTGAAAAATCTAAAGGACAGTGAGGTGAACATCAAAAAAAAATCAACGTGACTGACAAGGAAATGGTCAGAAGTCGAAGTGGCCAAACCAGAGAAGCTGTATATCATTCGATGCAGTATAAAACGCTGACTTCGAATCTGTCTTCCTTATCTGCTTCCCGCTTCTGTGGATGAAGTTACAAGCGATTTATTGTAAAAAAATCATATTTGTTGCGCTTTTAGCTCAGCCTCTGGCTTCAAAAATTTTAAGTAAGCTAAAGGCATGTTTTGGCCCAGCATTGAGGCGAACGTAACTCTGTACGGCTAAATTTTCAATTTCACGCATAATTTTAGCAAAATAATGGTCTTTAATGGCTTATAGATTCGTTCAGAAAAGCGATAAGCAGGCAAGGAAGACAGATTTAGAGCCAGCGCGTCATGCTGCATCTAACGGTGTGCAGCTTGTCTGGAATGCTCACTTCGATTTCTGACCATTCCCTTGTGAGCAACCCTCCAAAGAGAGGAAACAACATACAGTTTATATCTATTCCACAGAAAAAAAATTTTATGTGACACTGAACACAAAGTTTACTTTCAGATAAAATTAGCATCTTAAACAAATGCTCCCACTGTAGAGCGTGCTTCAAAGTTCTATCAGAAAATGATTCTTGAAAAACGAAAGGAAGGAGAGTGATAACAGTGACTTGTTCGAAAAGAGTCTTCGCACGCATATGCTGTTCAAATATAGTCGTTCTCCCCCCACTAGACACCTAGTGGACGAATTCGAAGTTGAACTAGAGAACGCCGATTGCAGAGCGCGCTATCTGCAGCTCTCACTTTAATGTCTAACGAATTTTTTTGTGTTTTCGCGATGTTTCAGCCTAATTTTTGAATGCTGACAATTTTCTCAATTCGTGTTGAAATTATTTTTATTTGAACGATGGATTGTGCTGCTATGCTTTCTTTGACTACGATTTCAAGTTGAGCTTCGAAAAACGATTAAGTTTGAAAGCCAACCTATTGCATTCTGCAAAGGAACAAGTCATTGAGATTAGAAGAAGGTAAATAAATAGGCAACAAGTGGTTAGAGCCAACAAACAGGCAGCAGACACTCACAAGGAGAGGATACTTAGTCGAAAGCACTAATCCAGATGAGGCATATATCATCTGGACGTGCTCGGAGCGCTGATTTCAAATCTGGCAAAATCAGCTGCGGAGCGCCTTTGGGCAACGAGTTATGGTTGTTTTTGTGAAGAAAATTTGAAGTCGAGGGGAGAAAAAATTATACGCAGTAGTCTCCAGTTGAGCTCGAATGAGGGAGTGATGTCTGTCAGATTACTCTGCGCAATGAAAAATGTTTGTCTGCTACACTCACATTTAAAACGAGTTTATCTGCGAAACATACATGTTGTAACAATCAATTTTACTCTCTTTACTTATTCAATTTTTCGCTCTTGAAGTGGTCAAGCTCCTCACCCAAAACGCTCCGCAGCTGATTTTGCCAGATTTGAAATCAGCGCTCCAAGCAGGTCATGATGATATATGTCTCATCTGGATCGATGCTTTCGACTAAGTATCCTCTCCTTGTCAGTACCCAGCGCGTCCGCTATCAGGCTATTCTTGGCAGGACCAAGTCGAATTTTACCACTCGCTTAGCAAACGCGGGTTCTCATGGTTCTTATTATCCAAAAAAGATGGATGGAATCTATTGAACTTTGCTGCTAGTTCACGACAAGGCTGGATCAGCTTCACCAAGCAACTTCTATATGCATCGTTATGGCAACAGCCGGTTTTCACCTATATCCTTGACAATAACGAATTCGTGGAAATGCTGTAGTAGCAAAACAGCACTTCACATGTTTGTTCATCTGCATATTTTTATTTTTCTTGCTGTCTCGTGAGAACGCAACAAATTAGACGTCATACATTCACAATTTGCACTGACGCTGCAGTCAGTTTATAGTCCTGTGCAATTGCGCCTTGTGGTTGTGAGATAATTAAGTACAACCAATCAAGCGACAAAAGTGAGTAAACTATCTTCGTTCATATTTTACTAAAAGAACGTGTATGAGCAAAGGTAACCCGCTAATCAGCTGTTACCATTTTCGCATTGGGAATATATGATAATTTGCACTTCTCTTTCATCCATTGATTTTTATAGGACCGGAAGAAATGTAAAATATAAGGAGAATTGATCATAAGGGCTCTCTCCTTCTTCTATGAGGACAAGTGCTTGCATAGCGTATTACCGTAAGTGTGCTTTATTGACTACAGCTACATTATCAAAAAATTAGAGCATCTAGCCAGTATTAGGGACAGACATAAATCTTATGACAGTATTACCCTGAGGAACTAGACTGAACGAAGGAGGGAGAAATCCGATTAAACATGAATACTTTTCAACAGTCACCCATCTATCTCACTTGAGGTGTTTAAAACAAATCATTTGCGATATGGTTGATGAAAACACAGTAGGTCATTAGCACAAAAGGGAAGCAAATCTTGAAACAATGGATGTGAAACTCAATATACAGTAAAACATTTTTTGTAACGTTGATACCTTGTTGACCCCACTGGAAGGCAGTAGCGATGCTTAACAACCGAAAGTAAGAGTAAGTTTGGCTGTTTCCTAAAAACGCATAACCAAGGGTTGTTTGCTAAAGCTAGCCATACCTGCCGAAGATTAGCAAGCGGTGTGCGATAGATTTTACCCATCCTTCTCTCGGATAATGCAAATCATGATGAGTCAAGTTCGCTGAGTAAGTGGTGAGAGCGATAGCAAACGGTGCAACGACTGCGAAATCTGTTCTGTGAGAGAAAGCACACTTACGGTAATACGCTATGCAAGCACTTGTCCTCATAGAAGAAGGAGAGAGCCCTTATGATCAATTCTCCTTATATT